CACAATGAAAGTCCCTTCTGAAACTAACATTCTAAACAGTTTACAGTTTTGTGTTACCACTGCTGGGGGAGGGAAAAACTTGACGGTGCCGGTTTTGGCAGGTGCTGTTTGAGTTTGGTGCTGTCAGGGTTTGTGCAGTGCCAGCTGAAATGGGTCCTCAGTGACCGCCATTCATGTCTGTATTTATTGTTCTGTAAGGGTATGGGTGATTCAAGGCTGCGCCGTGCACTTTCCTCCCTAGTTCTGTAGTTAAAACTAAATTGAGGTCATTCTGGGGGCTCTTCTTGTTCGGAAGTCTGGCCAGATGTGATCTATTAATCCTCTATTAACGCCAGTGCACAATTTCTGCCTGCTGAAGTTCAGGAATAAATTTGGCAATATGTGTCTCAAAGTGAGACAAATGAAAGTGGGAGTTGAGCCGCCTCCCCCCCCCCAGTGTGATTCATTGCCAGGTTTAGCCAAAGTACTCCAGGGTATTTTCAGGCCTTCTGCACCTTAACCCTACAATTTGGGGACATTAAGTTTGTCTATATTATGAAGCAATGCAGACTTCATAGTAGTAAATGACATATGTCTCTTGCAGTTCATGCCAAGTCCATGGTAACGGTTGTTGTTCCAAACAAGACATTTTTATAACTTCCGTGAAGGGAAATGTACGTGGATGTGCGTGCTTGTCATGTTGATCCGTGCACCTCCAGATGAGGCATACCCCTGACTAGTGCTGTGCTGTAGGGGCATTGTGTAATGTACTGTACTACTTCTTTGTACATGTTCTCCTTTAAAGTCAATTTGCACCCTGCTCAGTCTCTGTGGTGCCGTTTTCCACTGTGCGTGACCAAAGACAGAATGACTGCAGAGTGGTGTGCCTCTACGTGATTTCTCTCTAAACCATTGACTGGCAGAATGGAAATTGTACAGGACTGTCCATGCAGGTTGCTCATTTGGTTAGTAGTCACATCCACCGGAGCACTGGCTTTGGCATGCCCAGACTTAACATTTTCTCTTTTCATTCCCTTGAGCAAAAAGACGGGGGGGGGGAGAGGGAGTGATCGTGTTATCCCTAGAATTCCATGACTTTCCATTACTAGTACCATGCATGTCGTACATTACCGTCTTTCAATTAAAGCTGTCATTGCATTCCGTTTGTGGTTCTGCTTGTTCTCGCAAATACAGTAATGCCAAACGGTGTAACAGCAGGGAAGTGTTGAAAGGCACATGGATCATGTTGACTCTATTTTGGGAAATTAATAAATGTTTTGTGCAATCTGCAGGCAGCCACCACAGATTCCAAGCCAGTGAATTGAAATTCCAATGTCAGTAGCAGTAGCTAAAAAGAAGACTGAGTTGAAGTGTTTGATCTGAGCTTATTACTCGGACAAGTACAATATAAACACATCTTGACACTAGGTATCTCAGTTGTTCATTTCCTTTGTTTCTTTTATTGTAGTCGAAAGTATTCAACCAGAAAAAAATTACTTCCTCTCATCACAGTCATTCAATGAAAATAAGAACCCTGTTTTAACCTTGGCACTTAGGAAGTGTATTTCAGTGGTATGTCAGACTGACATCACGGCATATTTCAAAGTGTCTTCCCATCTTGTCTGCACCCACCATCACTGGTCAGTTTAAGTAGCCTGGACATTCCTGGAGGAGCTGAAGGAATGGACCATGGGCACTCCATGGACCTGTTGGTGAGACAGAGGCATTGGATGTCTATTTTGATTGAGCCTGGCACTAAAAGGCTGGCAGGGCAAAGGTACATTAGTTTGAAGACTGGTCCCCAGGGCATTGTTGAAACCCCTCTTCCTTGCTACCATGAGGCAGGTTACTGGTCTGTGGTCTCTGGTCATGGCCTCTGACCTCCAGTAATAACAATTTGATAAGTCTGGAATCTTCTGGTGTAGCAATATCCCCATTCTTGACCTTTGATGAAAAGGGATATTAAACAACAAGATTCAAAGAAATAACATGTACACATAGAGTTGGTATGCATGGTTATTTGTGTTAATTTAATTGGACTCTTCTGGGGAGGGAAAATTCTCTTGCAAAGCGCCTTTAGTGCATTCGTGTGCTGTTTCTGGTAAGATTTTTAGTTTGTAAGGACTGTATACTACCACATGCAGGAAATGGTACAACCTGAACTGACTTTTAACCACAGGCCATAAGTCTGAAGCCCATGTTCCCTCAAGATTCTCAAGACTTCATGAATTTGATTTGTGTTAACATAAACTGTTTTAATTCAATAAAACAAATGCTCTGCCATATTGCAGGGGTTCGAGTATTTTTTTTTTCAAATTTCATGAGCCACAACAGTTTTGTAAGACAATACATTATTTAGGGAGGGCCATTACTTGAGTTCCCAAGAGTGCTGTGCTTGTCAGCATGACTCCATCAACCCAGAAACCATGCGGAATTTGACATTTATAATCATTAGTAACTCAATAGGCACCTCCTGGAATATTTGGCTGCAGTGGCCCAATCAGAAACACACTGGAGGCCGAAATCATTTATTGTTCAAAAACTGGTTTTTTACTGTGTGCCACCTGGGAAATCAGCCCCCGGGCACAAAATTCTGACACTTCTTTCTCAGTCGTGGATTTTACGACATCTTGTCGGTCCTTTTCCCTCCTGGAATTCTGCCGCCCTTGTTCTATGCCCTGTCTATCTCTTCTCTCTTCTGCTAGCAGTATCCTTATGCCAATGAACCATATTCTCAAACAGACTGTCAAGAACTGAGGAGGCTCACTGGTGCTACTTTCAAATTGTAGTAATCATTTTGAATTTGATCACACAGCTGCAGAAAATTATCGGCTTTTACCCTGTTGCCCTGTAATTACAACATATGAAATACAGAAGTGTTAACCTCTGGATTTAATCACTGTTATTTTTGGATTCTAAAATCCATTTACTTGTGTGTTAAACTTGCACATTTTGATTTTTTTTTTTTTTTACTTTTTTTTAACTTGCATTTTTCATTATTAGAAGGAATGACATTGTTATGCAGGTTGGCCTTTTAACCAAACTGTCTGACAAATAAGTTATTAATTTTCCTTTGCAAGCACAAACTTTTTTATTCAAAGCACCTGTCATTTATCTGAATTGAGCTAGCCAACCATTATCAAGCTGTTGACCAGATTAATTGCTGAAATTACGTAAGGCACTGGCTTCTAGAATACCATTCAATTTCCGGTTTCTGACCTTAAAATGTGGGTGCCCTTTGTACCGTTGAACTTGTCCATCCCCCAAAATTTATGAAGGCTGTGATGCCAGTGACTTACCCCAGAAAACCCACACATGGAATATCTGTTATTTGGCAGATGGCCTTTATCTGCATCCTCCGTCCCTCCGGATCCCACTGCATCCTTTTCCGTCCAGGTGTGAGTCCACGTAATCGAGTGACCAATATCGGACTTCCCATAGGAAGTCCTTATGTTTAGAGAAACAATAAACCCCCACACAGGAGTATGCTGCTGTGAGCCAATTAAATCAGGTTCCAAAGGGTTTCAAACCTGTGGTGTGATATTACTCTCTACAAGAACCACATCCTTCCCACACCCTAAATCCTTGTTAATCAGAAGTGCTAAGAACCTTTATCTAACTTCTTTTGCTACTTTTTCAATCTTAAAACCAATCAATTGAGTTTTCAGCAGAAGTTTTATTAGGGCTGAGTTAATTCCAATAATTCACTATTCGAATATTCAACCTTCAATTTGATTGAATATCCGAATATTCGGTTATACCGACTGGCAGATTGTTGAAAAACACTCCGTATACAAAATCGTTGCAATAATGCACAAAACTGTACGTTTTAATGACTGTAGGAGCTTCTCACGTCTGGGAGTATCTCCAGCCACGATTTAGCAAGATTAAGAGACAAACAATACTTCTTGTCCTTTAAAAATTTATAATGAATAAAGTAATTTTTGAATTGTTGAAAGATTTCTGTCGTTTTCATTTGAGTCTACTTGAAACAAGCCTCCACAGAACAAGTTTTGTCATTTAAAACAAAAGAAAAGTCTAACTTAGGTTTCATGAATATTGCTTGATCGAATATTCGGATATTCGGCACAGCCCTAATTTTATTATCGGGTCATCCCGAAACACAACTGACCTGTGTACAGTTATTGTAAATGCAATCAGGAGAATTTAAATGTAACGTAATTTGAGTTAGTAATGATGACCTGTTTCCTTGTAATGCGACCAAGGGTCAAACACCTCTGACACCAATCTAACACCTCCTACATCCTTACCTCTTGGCCCTGCTTAAGAGTAATTTCGTAATGGGTCTCTGAGAGTCAGAGCAGGTGGCCCAGGATAGGAAACTCAAAACTGGATTATTTTTTACTTCTCTGGGGTCAAATAATTGGATTGCTGGCCAATATAAGATACAGAGTTTATAAAATAATAGACTTGTATTTTAGACTGTACATTCATTTGAAATTGCCTACTATGATACTAATGACCTTGTCTGAGCTAAACTTCACATACAGTATTAAATGGTTCCGATTCATGTCTGACAAAGACAGAAGTTCCCTCACTTTACCCTCTCTCAGTTTGTGCATGTGCATTTGGTTTTAGCACTGTTTGCATTCTTTATAAGCATTTGTAGGTCTTATATGTTTAGACCAAACTCCTACATGTATCTTTGGCTTAATGTATGGTTTGATGTTCCTGCTGTTTGAAAAAAAACAAACACACTGTCCACACAGATAAAAGACCTTGTGATGGCTCCTGCATGATTATGCTCTAGACTTTCCTATCAGTAGCTAGCCTTGCTGTAGCAGTTACTCTTGTGACTGACCACATCAGGTCCAAATCTCCAGATTGAGGGATCCAGAACTGCATGTACCTGTACATATATGTTGCACCATGGAGCTTAAGACAAAGCTGATGCTGAATGGCCCATTTAGATCAGGGTGAAGAGTTTGAGTCATTTACTCTGAAGAGGTGGTGAGTTTGATAAAAGTTCCCTAAGTTCCTCTTCGATCTCTTCCAAACAGAGGAATTCGAAGAGCTTCTGGGTTATGGTGAAGCCAAGGTCCAGCAGAATTTCCGCATTATGTACGTGGCCATTGCCTTGGATCTGGACAATGACATCAGACATCTATTCTCTGACCTCAGAAGTCACTTAAATGGGAAAGAGGTAAGCACTTACAAACAGGACAGATTTTGGGTTCAAATCAACAAGGGTCATACTAAGCTTTAAATAAGTTTTTGGCTGTCATGATTAAAAATGAATGCCACAACAGGGCTGGAGAAAGTCAGCTTACTGGGTGATTTTTTAATTTAAACCTGCTCTAAGAGTTTTTACGTATGCACTGAGAGGAAATATTTGGTTTGAGAATAAATATTTCCATGCAAGAAGTCCACTCTCCATAGGAACTCCGTTGCTGAATTGATGAAACACATGTATTGAACAAGTGCATGATTACAGTTTCTGGAAAAGAAATTGTAAAAGCTTTAACCTGTAAACAGCAGTTTTAGCAACGTACGTAATTACCGTTGAATTGATTGCAGGATAAACCAAAGTTTCTTTGATTTCTTTACAGGTAAAGATTCAAAGGAGTGTCAGAAACTTCTTTGATGAGCTCTTCCCCCTCCTGTACAGTCAGATTGACAAGTCGGCCGGCCGGCTGGATGCCCTCTTCTCCAGCTGTCTATCAGCCAAGCGGGCCATCATCCAGCCCTTCGGCGATGTCCCCCGCCAGATGGCCACCCTACTCTACCACTCGGTAGAGACCTCCCGTCTGCTGCTGCGGGCGGTGGAGCAGGGGCAGCAGGTGCTGAATGCCACCTTCAGCATGGCGCTGGGCAAGAAGTGCGGCCGGTCCCTGCTGGAGATGCGCCACTGCGGCCTGTGTCAGGGCCAGCTGGAGGCCCGCCCCTGCCGATCCTACTGCCTGAACGTGGTCAAGGGCTGCCTGGCCAACTTCATGGACCTGGACACGTTTTGGGACCAGTATGTCACGGCCGTCATTGATCTGATTCGGCACAGCATGATGAGGGACAATGACCTCCAGCAAGCTATGAACTCCTTAGAATATCTCTTCAAGGATGCCATCAACTACGCATTTGAAAATGAAGGAGATATCACATACGAGGTACCTGCACCAAAAAAAAGATCAAACACGGCAATAGTTTTTATGTACATTTCTCCAACCATTTTTTCAGAAATGAATGCTTGTTGAGCTCAAGTTCAGTGGGATCTATTCCCATGACACTACTGTGGAGGGCTTCTTAAACTGCATGTATTTCTAGTGAAATATGGGATTATGGGTACCAGACTTGCAAAGAGTTATTGAGTGACCAAATGTGGTCATATTCACATTGACAGAGAAGGCCTCTCCACAGAATGGAGCAAAGTCAACATCACCCAAAGAAATGCATTAAGACGTTTTGTAATCTTAACAAAACTTTTCATCTGCTCAAACTTTCAGGTGCACAGACTGTGCGGCTATCCCTCCCGGGGCCGCCCCTCACCCTTCAACGAGTTTGCAGCCGCCAACCCGCCTGTGGTGGACTTCCCCATGGTGCCCAACCCCAGCGTCCCCCTAGACGAGCGGCTGCTCGAGTTTGTGGAGAGCCTGGACCGGTCGCGGGGCGTCTACCACAGCCTACCCGCCATGATGTGCACGGCGGACGAGCTGGGCTCTACCAGGGATGACGACTGCTGGACAGGACGAGCGGTCGGAGAGTAAGTGTGGATTTCTTTTGACTGTCTTACTACCAGTAGATTTCCTTTTGTGACAGGTGCCTGCTGACGGGCCTGGTGTTGCTTCGCTCTAGCAGAGTTGACTGGGTGGTAGTGATTACCCAAGGACTAGCCCAAGTAAACTAACGTTGTGTGCTATGTGAACATTCCCCCCTTCCACTGACCAATTTGAGAGGTTAGAGCACCAATTGCATGTGGTATGTCCAGCACCCATGCCACAGTAATTTCAACAAATTGACCATATCACAGCAGTGTATCACATGCTTCCCATGTTTCCCTGGTGAAGATTGTGGCTGGGTTAAAAGACGTTCCACTTCCTGTCCACAAGTGGAGTCCCTGCGATGCCCTGTCTGGTTACCTGCCAACTCCTTTTCTTCTCCGTATCAAATTTGGGTTTGTTATGTAGCCGCGTGAAAGGAGCTCTCATAGGTCTACCTAGGGTAATTTTTTTTTTAACTTGAATATTACGAGATTACATCGGTATAAGTTGGGAAGGGTGTCTTAATCTTTAAGAAGCAACCCTGAAAAAATTGCCCTATTAAACGAAAATATCCTCCAGTACAGAGACTCAGTCTGATGCGTACAAAAACAATATCTTTCCAACCCACTCAAGTTAAGGACTGATTGTGTTGATGTTTACAGTCTTTTGAGTATGCTCGTCTCCTGAACTATTTATCTGTGTCATACTAGTGTGGTGATGCCCAAGGGGGGATAATTCCTAACAAAAAGATGCCTGAACGTTTTCTTCAAGGTGGCGCACCAGTCGCACAGGGCAGCATCTTTCTGTTTCGGTGACCTTCTTTCTGTGTCCCCGTTTTCTCTCCAAACAATTGGGCAAGTTCCTCCTCAGTGGAAAATGCCGTTGGTTATCCCCTAGCCCCCATTGCTGTGGGGATTAAGCCCCTACTGTTTGAGAGTCCCCCCACCTCTCAAGCATTCTTCACCTCTCTCTATTGTCTCGGTAACTTTAATTACCCCGATTAAATGACGGTAGGGACCATTTTTAGGGCTTTGTTTTCTTTCGCCCTGATGTTTTTTAACCGGGACCTAGGCAACCTGTCATGCATGTCACCCACTCAGCAACACGGGTGCGCGTTGTTCAGGCTATTCACTCTGTGCGTGGGCCTGAAAATTAGAGGACAATCCTATCTAGAGGGCTGGCAATCATGCGCCTGTTCTCCCATATCCTGCGATGTGTCTTCCTGCAGCTTCACAACAGCTGTCAGTATCTCAGTCCCGTATCAATTATTTGCTCAATCAAAAGGCTTGAAGGCTGTACGGTACATTGTGAGGCAATAGTTTTGGCAGCTAGAATTTAGTTCGAGAAACAATTAAACAGACCTGAAGAAATTGACTTTTTACATGTGTTTTCTAAACCCTGTAGCAGGTGCAAATAGGATATTGTATATACATGTACATGCAGTGTATTCCATGGGCAGACAGACGCCACTGGTAGACACCAACGCCAAACTTCTGATACACACATATGAGTCACAGAAATGCCATGTTGCCAAAAACAGAATGCAGGTACCGGTATAAGACACAAAAAGAAAATAAATGACAGTCAAATTGAACCCAAACCGCACTCGATCGGCCTTTGGTTGAGTTGAACGCAATCGACTTGTTCTGCCAAGCACAACAAAGTCGACTTAAGCCTGCGCATTATCTTGCGAACCATTATGTACCCTCAACATTCCATAAATAATTCAACAATGTCCTGTTGCCCCCTCAGTCGGCACTAAGCTGAACTCAATTACATTTTTCATAAACATTTTTATCAAGAGGGTCGTTGTTGCCCAAGCGCGACAGTGTACACAAATCTCAAGAGGTTTCAAAGTTGCGTTTCCCCCCTTCTGTAAAGTAACTAAACATTTGGTGAACATGTCATGACATTCCTGAACTGAATTTATGACATTCACCCTCCCAGTATTGACTAATCGCCTGTCATGAATGCTGTTTATTTAAAAAGATCGCTGCAGAAGAAAAATATCCACCTTTGTGAACGCCAGAGGCGGAGCCAAGTGGCAGAGGTCAGAGGCAACTAAGATAATAGGTGAAAGTAAAAAGTAGATTTCACTCTCTGAGGTACATATTTTAAACTTCGAGGTTATGTCACTTGCTTAGTCCCACAGGCCATTGTGTGCATGCCCTGTTCAGACATTGACAGTCTGAAGGGGTGCAGACTAGTAAATAAGCTGCCATAGACAACAGCGATAAATATTCCCTCTTCAAAAAATTAGCAACAATACAAGTTTCTCAGGTGTTCAAGACACACATGAAATTAAAGCTCATTTCCTCATCGTTCAGTTTTCTTTCAATTTTCAGTGACTTAGCTGATGAGTTTGAAGATATTTCTCTCTAGAGATAATCACCCCTCAAAACAGTCCTGAGGCCCATTGCCATTTTGAAAATCGATGCCTACATTTCATTGCAGAGTAGAGCAATTTAGAAGGCCCCGTTTGGATAGATACTTTTAGATACACAAGCTGGCAGTCCTGCCCCCAGATTTCATCCACCTTCTTTTCAAACCAACCAGTCCACGTGCCACAAAATGCTCTCATAGCATAGAATTTGACAGCCTACAGGTCCACGCTGGCAATTGTGGACCTATTTACTGGCCTAGGACCTGAAGGGGGATGGCAACTTGGCTTATCCGTTTCTTCCAGCTTTTTCACTGGAGATCCACTGAGAAAGCGGTGGATACGGTCTCTCTATCTGGCATCTCCCGTGCTGAAAGGAGACTGCACTGCGTAGCTTCCAGCACCCCCCTTAAAGCTAGGCACTGCAATTCAGGGGTGCAAGTCTTCGGGAGAGAGCCTGATTTCAGCTTTCATTTGAAATTTAGGGCTAATTTCAGGTCTTAGCAAGGTACCTGTACTTGTCCATGTACATTGAGGCTTCTCCAGCCTTCTTTCCAGGCTCTGGACAAGAACTCGACTGGCATCCCAGATTGATTTCCTACATGAAGGTGTTGGAATCAGTTGCCAGATGTGTCCCTCTCCCCTCCCCTCCTCCCTCTCCCTTTTACACTGTAGATTGAACTTGTCGCCCTCCCTGTCTGCTCTTGGCACTACTGTGATGCATCTTGCCCCAGTGGGCCTTTCAGGGGAGGGCTGTCCGGAAACATTTTGCAGATTCCCTGTCCCTATTTGTCAATGTGTATCTTTAAACAACAACAACATGCATGGGGCAGCACCCTTTCCAAGTCCAACACTGAACAGGATAATCCCAAGTTGGGCATTAACCTGTATCGGGCCAGTTCCATCCATCACGCATTTGGGACACGCGTTGATCAAAAGTCAGAAGCATTATCATGTCCATACTTCAAAGCGATGAGTGGTAGCCTGCAAAACATTCGTCACTCTGTTCAGAATGTCCTACAGAATTGCCGTATGTGTAGGTTTTGATGTAGATTTTTGGTTTGCAACCTAATTTATTCCACTGGTACAGGCAGGTGTAGGTCTCTCAAAGTTACAGGGACCGAACTGTGCCTGGATTAGAGGTGCTGACAAGTTGAGCACATTGAACCTCGTAAATGTTTCCTCACTCCATAAAGATATTTACTTTGAACAAGTATGGTTTATTTCTGACTTGTGGCTGTTTGTTGAATGCATGTACAGTACATACATGTGGAGCATGCATACCTCCTGCACGGGTGTGTGGACTTAGAATTCTGTGTACAGTTTCCCTAGGCAAATGCAATACTGATAAATTGACAGATTTGTTCTGTTGGATGAAGTGGGTCTGTTGAGTGTTGAGGTGTGTAGTACATTCCCCTTGGACCAGTTTCCCAGCTAGGTACGCACACATTATCCGTAATGTGCATGCAACAATTGGTTTCTTTGCAAGTTTATGAGCAGCCTTCCATAAAAGTTGCCCCCCCAACAGTGTATGACAGTGATTTGCTGTTGGAGAGCACTCCCATTAAAAAAAAATGTACCCCATTGATATAAAATACAGAACAACATATCACCCAGCTCCTTTCAAATACAACTTAGCAAATTTGGAATAATTGCCGATGTTGAATGTAACATTTCTGTATTAATTTTGTTATACATTCATTTGAAATACTTTGAAATATACAATGTAACAGTTTACATCTCCCTTGAAGTGTCCAGGGCCCTTTAACCCCCATTTCAATGTGATACACCCCCATGTTGAGCCCTAAATGTGCAGAGAGGGAAACTCCGCGAAAAGGTGACATACCATCTTGTCCTGAAATACCCTCTGTCCAATTCTCCCCCGTCCCCCTCCCTTCCCACACACACACACCTGCCAGGGGAGGCACCAGACTCTCAGCGTCTCTTCTTTTGGAATGCCTGAGCAGCACGCACTCTCATCAATCAGAGACTCAGTTAACATTGTCAGAATGCGCACACTGCTGTGATTGAGTGTTCGGAATCCGCAACAGCACAGCTGCCGCAGAATACACAATATCTGTCATGTCTGCCAGCTTCAGAGAATCCAGGCGGACATTCGTGTAGGAGACAGTCAATAAACATGTGTGTTAAAGAAACTAGGTTTGTGACTATCCACTGTTTGCTTTCTCTGGTACATGTACTGCGCTTGTAGCGGCACATGTGCTGCACACAAAGTTGCACTCTACTGTATGGTGCACATTGTGGTACATTATTTGCGGATGTGTACCACCTCGCCACACAAAAAGAGTTAGCAGTAATTACAGTATGCTGTCAGATAATATTTGAAAGGAAATTCCCTTCAGTACATGTAGCTACACTTAACCGAAGTCCAAGGACCAAAGGACCAAATGTCACACAACATATCCACAAACCCATCAGTGTTTCTTAATATCAGAAGTTTGGACATACCTGCAGCTTGGTAATAGTAGAATCCGTTTGGGTGACACTGAGTTTAACGTTTGGGAGGCAGGTCACAGTGTTCTTGGTTATAATGTTACAACTTTGCAAGCGTGTAGATGATACACATGTGTACATGTCACTGGCCTCTTTTGAAAGCTCATG